TTAGAGCTGAAAGCAGTCTCTTAGGTGCCTGCTGCACTGGGGCCCAGTCAGCCCAGCTTTCCACTCATCCTCTATGTCTCACAGTGGTGTGCTTCCTCAAGGCAATATTAATGATGGGCTTCCCACCTTCAATTTTTATTCTACAGCTCAGCTCTCATGTCCCGCCTCTTAGCAACTGCAAGATCATCCTGTCTGTCAGAACGGCTACCAAATTCACAAATAGTGCAGTAAAACTGGGTGAAGTCAGTGGCCGGATCCAGAGCTCACCCCAAGTCTTCCTTTTGCCAGTATTACAGATTGGGCAATGTTTACATGCAGCTAAGGGTGAATGTACAGACAGAAGATGCTGGTCCCAGACAGGATGCTGCTGCCCAAATGCATCAGAAGGTGGAGACCTGGAAGTGCTGCTGGTTGTTTTGGTGCTAGGGATCGAAATGACACTTTGTGCATGCTAGGCAAGTTCTCTGCCTCTGAGTTTCACACCCCTGGACATACCATGAACTTCACACCTCCAAAGAGACTCTGAGCTTCACACCTCCAATGAGACCCTGAGTTTCACATCTCTGGTCAGACCCTGAGTTTCACACCTCTGGTCACACCCTGAGCTTCACACCTCTGGTCACACCCTGAGCTTCACACCTCTGGTCAGACCCTGTACTTTCTTGGTATTTTTTTCCACTTGAGACTTTGATATACACATTCTGTTTGTCCTTCTGAGACTGGCTAATTCCCTTAAATGATCATTTCTGGTTATATCAAATTTCCTGCAAATGATGTGATTTTTGTCCATCATAGTTGCACGGATTTCTACAGTGTACAGACAATACAGTCCCTTCTCCATCCCTCCGTTGTTGGACACCTGGGCTGCTTCTGTAACTGGCTACTGCCAATAGTGCCATTGTGAACACTGACGAACAAGTCTCTGTGTGGGTAAACACCAGGATATGCCCTTTTGATAGCCACTAGAGGTGAGGACAAGGAGAGGGAGAAATAGGGCACAGGAAGACACAGAGAAACAGAGGAGTGTTGTGGGAACTCATTCCATCAATGGCTTTGGGGTACCAGCCTTAGGGCATGGCTTCTGGTCTTTGGATAAAAGGAGAGAGGTCGCTCGCTCACTCTCTTGAG